TTGATTTTAGGCTTGATTTTGGTTCAAAATACTTTGTGAAAATTGTTTCAAAAATATATGAAGTATAAAACACAATTTAGCACATTTAGTAAGGTTTGAATTTGATCTTGAAAAGACTTGGAGTAATTGATTTGATATTCGAATAATTGTGTCGAATATACTTATAAAATCATTTGTAAATCTTAAAATTCATTTAAACTTAATTTGTTATATCGAAACACAAAAATGTTTTCAATATTGAGTTTCCGATTTTTTATAGCACCATTTACGTAACCTTATTTTGGATCATTTTAGATGTAGTGCAATCATAAATTTCAATTTTGATCTTTGATTGTTATAGAAATATTAAATTTGAATATTTTGAGACGACTTAATTAAAGCAATAAGTCATTAAAGTGGCCTCAGTTATGGAAAATATTTTATACATGTTATGTACATGTAACTTAGGATATGTTAGTATCGATCGATCCAAAAGAAGATTAATAGTTGACATAATTGAATGTACAACTTTGGTAATAAGCATGTGATAATTATTTGGTTTGATGTGTGAGTAATAAATCAACCCAAAAGAAGATTTTTGCTTGATATGTTCTTATTATCAGTGTTTGATTATCGTATCAGACATCACTTAAGGTAAATATTTTGTCTAAAGATGAAATATTAATGGAGAATCTGATATCTTGAGATAATATTTTAGTGTATTTAACTTTATTAATATTTTGGTTATTTTTTAATATAAAGATAAAAATAAGACAAATGGATTGGTTGACAATATTTATATGGTTTTATTTATATTGTTAATGCAATATGTGTATATATTCAATTCAATTTTTCAGTTTTGATTGTTGGTTATTAGAATATATATATATATATATATATATATTAAAACAAATTCATTCATATTTTGGCTAAGTTTGATATTTTAGTAGATTTGTTGAAACAAAATGTCGACAAAGTAACCTCTTTAGTGTAAAATGATTTATTTAAAATATCAAGATGATTATGTGTTTCTTGTGATTCATGCATTTATTAGTGGACCCAAACGAAAGTTAATATTTGGACGGATTTCAATCGACACCTGTGGTAATAATATGTGACCATTATTAGGTATTTTATGTGTGCATTACATTAATCCAAATATTAGTCTATTATTCAACATAGCTTATTGTCAATATTTGATTACTACAACAAGAGTATTGTTTACTGTTAATAGATGTGAATTAGCCATTATTTTAAATTTATTGTTTGTTTATGTGAGCTTGTTGTTTATTTTGTTCATCTAGTTCTTTTGTTGTCACGGCTTCTGCTAATATCAATTTTATGCTCATGCTTAATGAGATAAATTTCAAGGAATGAGAAAATGCACTTACACATGGTTTTGGTTGTATGAAATTACATAGACTTTGCACTAAGGAAAGAAAAATTTTCAACTCTCATGGGGGATAACATCCTTAATTGGTATAAAGAATTTTGGGAGGTGAACTTTGTTCAAATTGCATGAGTCTAGTGATCATGAAGCACATCATTTTAGAAGCCTTTCGGGGAACATATTCTAAAAAAAATTACTTAGGCCAATGGTTTCCTTGACGAAATTGAAAAATGTTTTCCAAAAACAATAAGATTTAAATGACATCACTTTTGACTTATTTGATGTATATGAAGTATAGTAGTCAAGGAAATGTGAAGGAGTACATTATGAATATGTCTCATATTGCTTCAAGACTTAATGCATTTAAGATTAAGTTTTTCTAAAGAATTATTTGTTCTTGTGATTTCAGTATTGCTTCCTATAGACTTTAATCAACTAAAAAGGACACATGAACTCTAAATGAATTCATTTTTCATTGTGTGCAAGAGGAAGAGAAGTTGAAGCATAATAAGTTAGAAAGTACTCGGTTGAAAAGTGCATATAAAGATAAAAGCAAAAAAATAAGAATGTAGTTGTTAAGGTTCCAACTCAAAAGAGACAACAATACGTTGCAAAAGGTTGTTCTCGTTTTTACTAAATTAGGACATATGAGTAGAAATTGAATTATAAAACAATAAGCAACTACTTTGGTTATTCTAAGCAATTAAGGGGTTATAACTTTTATGATCTCTTAACTATAAATATTTTTAAGGCGATGTCTATAATATTATTTTTAAGGATGTTGAGTTTGGGGGGAGAAATAAGGTTTAAGGAATTGCTTTTGAGGAGAAATTGAATTATAACTCAATTCATATGATCACTTTTGATGATATAAATGTGTTCATACATGTCGTTAATCAAGAAGTGAATCTAGAACCTCAACAAGATAATATTGAACAACTCTTCATTTAAGATGAGATATTATCACAGAAGAACAAACTCAACAACTCAAAGAACTAGTGTCATTAAAAAGATCCATGAGATGAGATAAATGTTATTTAGATTATTGTGTTGTATTTCTCAAAGAAATAAGGACTACAATGGAATGATAGAGGATGATCTAATCAATTTTTATCATGTCATAAAAGTTCTGACTCTTAAAAGAGGATTAATATCATGTAAGAAGAGTATATGCTTTATACAAGATAATAAAGTTTGAGAACTTGTCTCATTACCTCAAAGTACAAAATTGATTGGTCGTAAATGGATATTTAAAACCAAAATGGATGCAAATAGTGATGTTGACAAGTATAAGACATGTCTTGTATCTAAAGGATATACTCATAAAGAAGATATTAATTTTGTAGAGACTTTCTCTTTGGTTTATTGAAAGACTCTTTCAGGATAATCATGATACTTGTTTCTCATATTTGATCTTGAATTACATAAGTTAGATTCTAAAATTGTATTTCTCAATGGTAACATTGATGAGATGTTTTATACGGTGCAATTAGAAAATTGTGTCTGATGATACAAAAGTAATGATATGAAATTAGGGAAATCCATTTATGAGTTTAAGAGTATGACTTCTGTTAATTGTATAAAAAAATTATCAAGTGATTATCTCATTTGACTTTGACATGATTTTGATTGACAATTTTATATACTATAAGTTTCATGAGAGTAAACCAAATGATACTCCTTATTGCTAAACGAAACAAGTTTAGTCTTGACCGGTGCCCTAAGAATGATTTTGAAATTAAGAAAATATTAAAGGTTCCTTATGCTGCAAAAACAAATTTAATGTATACTCAGGCTTATATGCATTTGGATATAGCGTATGATTTTAGGATATTAAGCAAATATTTGAGTAATTTGGATATGGATCATTGGATATCAGCCAAATTGATCCATACGATATATTTAAGAAAAAAAATATTATATGCTCACATATCAGAGGTCTAGTAAGTAAGATATCATCAGGTTTATGGACTTTGACTTATTTGAATATAGATGCAAAGTTTTTTTCACATTAACTATTGATTGTGGATTGATAAGAAATGTCACTTGAGTTATTTTGTGACAATAAAGTTATAATCCTTTATTTCATATACAACAGAAACATCTTAAGTCTAAGCATATAGACATTATGTTTTTTGTTGTTAAAGAAAATTCAGAGTGATTATATGTTTATAGAGCATATTGGTACAAACTCATAATTGTGCGCTTACTTAAAAACTGTCACCCAAGGTCTTTCATGAGCACACTACTCATGTGGGTGTAATATCATTTAAGGTTATTCAATTTTAGTGAGAGTTTGTAATTTTAATGCTCATTTGTTATAGACACAATTTCAGTTACTTCAGTTTAAGGATATTTATTTAAAAGTTATTTTCTATAGAAATAAAGTTAGTTTTGGTTTATCCACACTTTGACTTTGGTAAAGTTTGATCTCACTAATGTTTAAAGATGACCAGTTGGAAATAGACATGTGCGGTTCACATTGCATGTAATTTCTATGTTACACTCCATGATTAATCTATGTCATTTGATTGTGTTTGTATATGTGACCATTAATGGGTTTAGTCATGATTGATACGACGAAAACTGCTTTGATCCTATATGGATATAGTTGATGAACGAGATTGTTATAAATACATATTTCATGATAACAATTTTTTAGCTCATAAGGTTATACATTTATCAGGAAACATATGTTGCCAAAGTGAGAGATTGTTGGATTAAAATCTTTAATTATGGGCACATATTTATAATGTATATTGTTATCATAAAATATGACATAAATTAAGTGACCAATTATGTAATAAAGTCATAAGGTATTAGAAGAGTCAAGGAAATAAAAGTGAAGATACTATTAAAGTTGTATTTATAATTTGATGAGGGGTAAAATTATAAGTACATACAATTATTAATTCTTAAATAAGTTATATAAATGGGTTATGATCCCTAATAAATAGACGATCTCATATTTTCACTTATCCCATCAAAGAGTTTATAATTAAAGATAATTCAATCTTCTTGGAAGATCGCAACAACAAAAAAGATTCAAATATTTCAACTTATCAATTAATTCAGATACACTTCCATAAATCTAGTATTTTATTCTTAATGATTTGACATGATTAATCATGGTTAATTTTATTCTAACACAAATATAATTATTTTTACCTAAGAGTTAAAAAATTAGAATATTTTAAATATTATACTAAAAATGATATTATATATGTATGAACGTGTCTTGTAATAATTCATGGAACATTATTTTTTTAATAAGTTCCCTTACCACATCTTTACATAAAATAATAATAGCATAAATCAGCGATAAACCTAGATGCAAGCAATTAATGAGATCCGACATGAAGCTGAAGTTTAAGAATAATTAAAATTAAAAGAGTTTGTAGGAGAAATCTAAGAGCCCATTTGGATCAAGGAATTTAACATTTTTAGTAGGTATATTTGTTTCCTGAAGAAGGATACCCATGTTTAGTTGGGGGTATGATTCTTAATTGAAGGTAATGTTATAATACTAATAGTATATTTTTAGTGTTTTATTCTTAGTAATATTATTCTCACATGTAAGTTAGGTTTTATTTTATTACCGTCGTAAGGGCTAAAATACCCCTCTTTTCTGCGCAATATCTTCTTCTCCCCGTGCTGCTAAACATTCATCGTTTCCCATCTCCCTTTTAGGTATTTGCTTGTGGTTGATATTTTCAACATTTAAAGAGATACGTTGAATGGCACAATTTAAGAGGAATCCATGCGGTTAATTTTGTAGTAGGTGTTAATGAATTGCTATGGTTTGATCTCGGTGTAAGGCTCGAGCGGCGTATATCTGAACTAAGAAATGAGTTGGCCGAGTGGGTTTTGGAGAAAGAGAAAGATGATCGTGAAAGTTGCTTCATTTTCCATGCTTTTAGCAACACTGGCTGGTTGATGTAAGTTTAATGAATTTGAGTTTTGTTTTCGTTTTCAAATTTTGATCGTTGAAAGTAAATTTGGGTGTTTTTTGTTTATGGGCAGATATGGTTCACTTCTTGATAGTTTTCTGGGAAGAGATGGATTGAGAGAGAAAATAAAAGGGGTGATTATTGATTCAGGAGCAACTGACCCTTTTAATCCTAAGGTTTTGTTTTTTGTATGTTGATTATTTGAGTTCTAATTATGATGCTTTGATGATAATTATAGTTTTTTCCTTGTGAATTTCAGTTTTGATCTTTATGTCAAATTATGAATTTCAGATAAGTAACATGCAATGGAGTTAATAAGATCCAAGCTTTGGGTTTTTGTGTTTATGAACTTGAGTTCTTTAGCTGATTTTACTGAAGATTTGGTCTTAAATGGCGTACAATGAAACTACTATGATTCAAGCTTATGCAAATTCAAATTGATGGACTGTGATTCATCTTGCCTTTATCCAAGAGAATGAGAATGAATCCAGATTCTAGTTGTGAACATTAGGAAATTTCTGCGTGTGGTAGCTCTATCAAATTAGCATCCATGTATTGTGCTTTGTTTACTCAATTGTAAAACTTAGATTTATGTACTACTAGCCGTATAAAAGACACTGGAATGCTTATGTCCGTCCTCGGGATATTTGAATAATAAGCTTTCAACATTTTTATATCTCTACTTATTCCAAGTTTGTTTAGAGCTCTATCATACTATTTTGCTTTTCGCTAGCTCTATCGGTATCATTGAATGGAAGCTTCATTGATGGTTTATCATCCAGAGGGAAGAAAATGGATCTCATCTTATCCTAGAACACTTGCAATATTTAAGCTTGATTGTCGTTTTCGTTTTCAAAAATCTGGGAAATCATACATAGCATCTCTAGCATTAAAACAAAAAACATAATTAAAATTCTTTGAGCTTGTTTGCTGGTGTATAAGATCGTAGGTTCATTGTTCCAGCTTTGAACTTTGTAATTTCATTTGGATGAACTATATAATTGTTCTGGAAACTGGAAATACTGATGAGTCGCGTATTCTTTTCATTACAGGTCTGAGCAGCCGGTTTAACTGCTGCTATACTGAAGAAACAGAGCTATATAGTAAATGGATTAGGAAGTGCAGTGACTGATTCGAAATTACAGAAAGAGGAACCTGGGATGATCGAAGTTGTGGTGCTATCTACCCTTGAAAAGTTCTTTGCTACCATTCTAAATATGCCCGATGTGAATCGGTAGGTTTTCCCTTAAGCCATGTATTGGTTGTCTTACATTGTTAAATGGCAAGAAATATGCTTTCATGCCAACATGCCATACAATGTAAACTCTACAACTATGATCATATCTTGTGGTTGTGACAAATAACAGATTGATACGAACCAGATATAAGAAAGTATATTTACTCATTTGCATAACTCGTGTTACTAGCCGAGTAAAGTTGCCACAGTTTCTAATATTCAATATGAATTTCTTGCTAGCAGGTTCGTGTTCAACATTTATAAAGCTGAAGTCAGGCCTGAGAATAAACAAACAATTTATCAAATTCCTCTTTTGGTCCCTAAGGTGATTACAGTACAAAATATTGATATTGTTTGATCGACTGTTATATCTCTGTTTGACCCTTGATCTTTTCAGGTGTCACAACAAAGAAATGGTAAAGAATGTGGGAACTTTGTTCTCTATTTCATAAAGTCATTTGTCGAAAGCGCCCCGGAGAACTTTAGCATTGAAGGCTACCCTTACTTTGTATATTCCTCGTTTAGTTTAAAAAGTGTATTTTTTTCGATTGTGGATTATAAGTATGATGATGAGGTACGAATTGCCTATTTTACTTTGCAGATGAAAAAGGATTGGTTCAGTGCTGAAGAAGTGGAACGCTTTTGTGAGAGGCTCGATTCTCCGGCATGTGATTTTCATTAACTTTAAAAATGACATTTTTTTATGAGCCTTTTTTTATGTGATCGATTAGCTTTAGATGTGAGTGTAGATCAGCATCTATGAACTCTTTGTATGAATCTCGTTTCATTTATGAAGCATATTTTTTCAAATGTGGATTATAAGTACTAATTGCCCATTTTACATTGCTGATGAAAAAGAACTGGTTCAATGCTGAAGCAGTGGAACGCTTTTGCGAGAGGCTTGATTCCTCGACAAGTGATTTACGTTAGTTTTATGTTTACAATATTGAGATTATATTTCTTGATGAACCTTTATTTATGTGATTGATTATAGCTTAAATGTGGATGTAGATCAACATATATTGATGAAAGAAATTAACGGTCTAGTATGTTCAAAGTTTGGTCTCTGTTGGTTTTTGTATGTTCGGAGAGAAATTACATGTCGGGAAATATGAATTATTGAGTTGCTTGCTTTTCGTAGTCAAGAGTTAAGTACAAATCAGATTAGGACTGAGTATTAATAATTTTATTAAATATTAGCAAAGATAATGATGAATGACGGTGAAATATAAAATTATAGACAATATGATTTTTAGTGTTATATTTTCTTACTTATTTGAATTATATTTTTGTAATATAAATTCATGAGATAAATAATAATGATAAAATATGCAGAATTAAGTATAAATATAAAAGATAAATAAATAAATTATTGTATATAGAAGATATAATAAATATTATATCTTAGATAACAAAATTAATTTACATCTTTTTATTATTATGAATATCTATGAAGAATTTTCACATTGTAAACATTTAGTTAAACGTTGATGTAAAATTTTAATATATTTTTATATAAATTATGTAAAATTTAACATTAATTAAAATTAAAATAATACATAATATATTTAAATACTCAAGTAATATATTATCAACAAATAGAATTTTTATATAAATAATTTTTATTTAAATATTTAGAATTTCACTTGTTAAAAAAATAAATATAGAACAAGGACAATTTGGTAAAATATACATTCCAGTAATTTTTTATTCCTTCAACCAAACACTGTAATCTTACATTCCTGCCAAACCAACCAAACACAATAATGTAACATTCCCAGTAATCTCATTCCCTGATAATCTTTTATTCCCACTGGTAATCTTTTATTCTCACTGGTAATCTTACATTCCGTAAACCAAAAACACCCTAAGACCTATCTACTACCGTTGCATTAACTGCATTCCACATGATTCCAATCGCTCTCCGATCTTGATTTCCAACTAAGCAAAAACAGTTTGCATTCCCTATTTGTCATGGAATATATATATATATATATATATGAACCTTGTCTTATAAACGAAGTCTACGTCTTCTCTTTTAATTTAATTTAATTTTATTTAGTCTTACTAGAAGTTAAAATAAATTTCTGGTAAATTTTATTGAAAATATTTATATAAAGAAATGGACGTTCCCTAATTGAAAAAAATCAAGTCACATTAAATAGATTAAGGCCAGTTTTGTAATGATTTCTAAAAGTATTTTTAGTTAAAAATTTATTTTAATCGTAAAATTAATATCGAGTAAAAAAATAAACAAATGTTATAATAAAAATAGTAGTTTCAAACTAACTACAAAAGTCAAAAGCTAGAATTTCTAGTTTTTCATTTTCAATTTTGAGTTAGAATCGAACTAGAATTTTACTCTTAATAATGTACAAGTTCCACTCAATTATATATTTACATCTATTTTAATAATTTAATACTATCATTCTTAAAAAGAATTTATTACTTTTAATAATTTATTTTAATTATTTAAAATAAATAAAATACTTGATTTATATATTAAAATATTGATAGTGGGTTATATAAAATATATTTTTACTATAATTTACATTTTTATTATAATTTAAATTGATATAATTCATATATAATAATAATTTTTTGAATTTATTATAGTTTAATTGATATGATTCATATATAGGTGTAAATATAATTCAAATGCTATATTTTTAATTTACAACATAATGCTTATAACAATCATTTTATATTTCATACTCACTTTTTAACAACAATTCTAAAATAATTAAATTTTAAATTGTACTATTATACAACACTTTTAAAAATTAGTTTCTACAAAAAAAAATCACTTTTAAGAGACTATTTAAATATGAAAATATGACTAACTTCTTTTATTTGATTTATTTACCTCACAAAAGCGTGTATTCACTTCCAAGTTTCAAACCCCTAGGGAAAATAGAGAAACCCCTATGGTCGTCTAGATGGCAATGAAAAACGGACATATTTTCACAATTTTAGAGGCAATCTTCAATATCCTAAAAACAGCGGAGATTAAAAGCAATTTTTGACAATGGGAACATCCCGAGCCCAAATTACCTGAAATTTTCAATTGCTTGAACAGCGTGAAGTTTGATTCCAGCGCAAAGCATATAATATAAAATATATAAAGCCTCTATCATCATGGATTAAATAAAACAACAATGAAAGAGAAAGCAGTAATTACACACATGATCAACACAACATATTAACACGCTTTCTAAGACGCTAATTAACCCATCCCTTAGTTTCTTTCGCCATTACTTTTCACAAAATATTACAGAATTCATCTGCGTTGCACAAATACGGGATGAATATGGAAACGTGATATGATAATTTCTAAAATTACATAATACATGTATGATAAGAGTACGATAAATATAAATAACGTTTAAAATTCATAATCATTATAAAGTTACGTATTAGATCGTATTCAGTTTTATGTTTGTATTAGCTTCGTTAAAATACACATATCTTTAATTTTCGATATTCAATTGAGGCGTTTCAAGATACATTAGAAACATAACTAAATTACGGTTTATACGTAACGAGACATATCAATCCAAAAATACCCGGATTCCATGTGAAATTCATCATAAGTTAGTTGATTTTCCAAGCTTCAAATCAACTCCAATTTCTTATTCAAAATCATATTTTTTATTATTCAAGTTAAATTTCAAAAATAACTATGAATACGCAGGTGGATATCAAACGTCGTCCCCAATATTTCTCCAAAAATATGTCTGATGTACTCAATTAATTTTAACCATATTCTTTCAAGTTTCAACATGTTGGTCAAACTTGTAGGTGCAATAAATGGTAATAGGAGAAATTAGTTGCCAAATTGGTTGCCAAGTCAAACTTGCAGGTGACGGTGCATCTTTTGTTGAAAATAAGGAAAGCCAATTAAATGAATTAGTTGGTATAAATAGAATGGGGGCTTCTGCATATATAAATAGCTCACCCCAACAGGTTCTTAAAAATCCAAGCAAGAAACACAAAGAAAAGCATAGAGAGAAAAGCTTTAGTGAGAAAGTTGAGAGCAATTTTCAAGGTGTAAATTGGGTTGTGAGTTGTGAGTGTTTTTTATAAACACCTGTAAATTTTCTCCCTTTAGTAAAAGATCTGCAGCAGTCTGGAGACGTAGGCATAATTGGTCGAACTCCATTATCAATTTCGTGTGTTATTATTCCGCTTTTATTTCACATTCTCACTAATCTGATAATAGGGAAATTACTCGTTTAATTTTCCAACAACTAACATCAGAGCTTTTGGTGGTGAATTTTTGTCAATTTTTCTGCGAGGTTACTATTCACGTGAATATTGAATTTCGTGAATAGTAATATTTGGTCAGCGATACTAGTTTGTCGACGGAGGTGTTCTAATACACGGGGTTCGCAGTAATTGTCAGAAACGATCTAAAGGAAGCCAGATTCGAGTGGGAGCGAGCGATGGCTGCAGACGAAGGGAATGTGAAAATTGAGAAGTTTGATTGTACGGACTTTGGCTTTTGGAAGATGCAGATTGGAGATTTTTTGTACCAGAAAAAATTATATCAAACTCTCTCATGAAAGCAGCCAGAGGGCATAGAAGATGAAGAGTAGACTCTTCTCGACAAACAAGCCCTCGGAGTTATCCGACTGACGTTATCCCGCAATGTTGCTTTCAACATAGCAAAGGAAAAGACTACGGCGGGTCTTATAGCGGCTCTCTCCAGTATGTATGAGAAGTCATCAGCCTCAAACAAAGTTCACTTGAAAATGCGATTATTCAATTTACGGATGGCAAAAGGGGCATCAATGGTTCAACACCTAAATGAACTCAACACAATCACAACCCAATTGAGTTCCGTGAAAATTGAATTCAATGATGAAGTTCGAGCTTTAATTCTCTTATCATCTCTACCAGACAATTGGAATACTACTGTTACAGCAGTCAGCAGCTCGTCAGAAAACAGTAAAGTGAACTTTGACGATGTTTGGGATCTGGTATTGAGTGAAGAAATTCAACGGAGAGAATCAGGTGAAGCATCAAGCTCCTTAGCCTTGCACACGGAGTCTAGAGGGAGAACTTTAGAAAGAAATCCAAATCGCGGTAGATCGAAATCTAGAAGGGGAAAATTAAGAACGGGAAAGAAATATTTTAACTGTTATAATTACGACAAGAATGGTTACTTTAAAAGAGATTGTCGAGCATCGAAGAAAGATATCGGCGCACAGGAATCTGCCAACGTGACAGAGGAAATAGGTGATGTCATGATTCTAAGCGTCAACAGTCCGATTGAATCATGGATCTTGGATTCAGGTGCATTTTTCCACGCCACCCCATGCCAATAAATCATTGAGAACTATGTCAGTAGTGATTTTGGGAAGGTTCATCTAGCTGATGATGAAACCTTGAAGATCATCGAAAAAGGAGACATTCGATTAAAGTTGCCAAACCAGACCACCTGGAAGCTGAAAGGAGTGAGACATATTTTTGGCCTCAAAAGAAATTTGATTTCTATAGGACAGCTTGATGGAGAAGGATATTGTACAACCTTTTCAGGCTGTGAATGGAAGATTACCAAATGAGCACTCATCATTGCTCGTAGTAAGAAGACTAGTACTCTCTATGTAACCTCAAATTTGGAGAATATCATTGCAATGGAAGATGTTGATGGAAAATCAAACCTATGGCACCAAAGGCTTGGCCATATAAGCGAGAAAGGGATGAAGACACTTTTGTCAAAAGGGAAGCTTTCGGGTCCAAAGAGTATAGATATCGGACTATGTGAGGATTGCATCTTTGGCAAACAAAAGAAAGTCAGTTTTGCAAAGATTGGCAATACACCCAATGCAAAAAAGTTAGAGTTGGTTCATACTGATGTATGGGGATCATCTCCAGTTCTATCTCTTGCATGCTCACTATATTATGTCACCTTCATCGATGATTCTACAAGAAAAGTGTGGTTTTATTTTCTGAAGAAGAAATCAGAAGTCTTTGATACCTTCAGAAAATAGAATACCATGGTGGAAAATGAGACTAGTTTGAAAGTCAAGAGGTTGAGGTCTGATAATGGATGAGAGTACAGAAATAGTATATTCAAAGAATTTTGCGCAAACAATGGGATCAAGATGGAGACAATAGTTCTCATGAAACCGCAGTAGAATAGCATAGCAGAGCACATGAAGAGAACTTTGAATGAACGTGCCAGAAGCATGAGGATACATGTCCGCTTGCCCAAATTGCTATGGGCTGAAACTATCAACACTGTAGCTTACCTGGTCAACCGTGGGCCCTCAGTTCCCTTGGATGGTGGAATACCAGAGGAAGTTTGGAGCAGAAAAGAAATAAATCTTTCACACTTAAGATGTTTGGTTGTATTTCTTATGTACACATAAATTCTGTTGAAAGAAGTAAACTTGATGCTAAGTCCAACAAATGTGTCTTTGTTGGTTATAGTGGTTATGAGTTTGGTTACCGATTTTGGGACTATGAAAATCAAAAGATCATCAGAAGAAGAGATGCCATTTTCAATGAGAATGTGATGTACAAAGATTGGTCAACCATAGAATCAAGTAGCTCCAATACCGAAGCTAAAACAAAGGAATTTGTTGAGTTTGAGGAGATTTCTGGAAATGATGTTCAAATCAGTCTTGAAGCAGTTCAAGAAGAACCAGGCACACCAGAACTGAGGCGCTCCTCTAGAATTCCTAAACCAACTCAGCGTTATTTTCCTTCTTTGCACTACTTGTTGCTGACTGACAATGGTGAACCAGAGTACTATGATGAAGCAATGTAGGTGGAGGATTCAGTCAAGTAGGAGTCTTCCATGAAAGATGAGATGGACTTGCTTATGTCAAATCAGACGTGGAAATTAGCTGAATTACCACCAGTCAAGAAAGCACTCCATAACAAGTGGGTTTACAGGATCAAATAATAGCACGATGGGAACAAACGCTACAAAACAAGATTGGTTGTCAAAGGTTTTCAGCAAAAAGAATGTATTGACTACAATGAAATTTTCTCTCCAGCCATGAAGCTGTCTACAATCAGACTGGTGTTAAAAATTGTAGATGTAAAGAATCTACATCTTGAGCAGTCAGATGTAAAGACATCTTTCCTTCATGGTGATTTGGAGGAAGAAATCTATATGAGGCAACCAGAAGGCTTAATAGAGGCAGACAAGAAAAACCTAGTATGCAGGTTGAAGAAGAGCTTGTATGGTTTAAAACAAGCTCCTAGACAGTGGTACAAGAAGTTCGATAGCTTTATGGGTAGCAGTGGTTTTACCATATGCCAAGCAGATCATTGTTGCTACAACAAGAAGTTCGACAACAACTTCATTATTTTATTGTTGTACGTTGATGACACACTCGTTGCAGGTTTAGACATGCAAGAGATTATAAACTTAAAGCAAAAATTATTGAAACAGTTTGCAAGGAAAGATCTGGGCTCTGCAAAGTAGATTCTTGAGATGAGGATTAAGAGAGACAGAAAGTCGGAGACTTTGATATTATCACAGGCTAAGTACATCAACAAAGTACTCTCCAAGTTCAACATGCAAGATGTTAAACGAGTAAGAACACCTTTAGGTGTTCATTTTAGACTCTCCAAAGAACAGTCACCAAAGACAAAGGAAGAACGTTCACACATGGTGAAGGTGTCGTATGCCTCAGCAATTGGAAGTCTGATGTATGTCATGGTTTGTACTAGACCAAATATTACTCAAGCAGTGAGAGCTAATAGTAGGTACATGAATAATCCGGACAAAGTACACTGGGAAGCAGTCAAATGGATCCTAAGATATATGTGGGGTACTACAAACAAAGCACTTGTTTCAAAGGTTGAGATACAATACTGACAGGCTATGTAGATGCTGACTTAGCCGGAAATGTTGACATCAGAATGAGCACAACAAGGTATGTCTATACTCTAAGAGGTACTGCAGTGAGTTGAGTTTCTCAACTACAGAAGATAATTGCTCTCTCCACAACTGAAGCAGAATATATCGTTGTTACGGAAGCCAACAAGGAGATGGTTTGACTCCAAAGTTTATTGGAAGAGTTAGGCAAAAAACAAGAAATAAATGTCTTGTATTGTGACAATCAAAGTGTTATCCATATAGCAAAGAATCCGTCTTTTCATTCCAGGATAAAGCACATACAATTACAATATCATTTTATCTGGTCTCTTATAGATGATGGGATTTTGAAACTTCAAAAGATTAATGAAGCTCAAAATCTGGCAGACATGTTAACAAAAAAAGTGACTACGGACAAACTGAAGTTGTGTTCAGCTTCAGTTAACATGCTAGAGTAACAAGACTAGAAATGTTACTGCATCGATCGAGGTGTGAAGACAGATTAAAATCAGTTTTCAAGTGGAAAATTGTTGGTCAAACTTGTAGGTGCAATAAATGGCAATAGGAGAAATTAGTTGCCAAATTGGTTGCCAAGTCAAACTTACAAGTGCAATAAATGGCAATAGGAGAAATTTGTTGTCAAATTGGTTGCCAAGTCAAACTTGCAGGTGACGGTGCATCTTTTATTGAAAATAATGAAAGCCAATTAAATGAATTAATTGGTAGAAATAGAATGGGGGGCTTCTGCATCTATAAATAGCTCACCCCAACAGATTCTTAAAAATCCAAGCAAGAAACACAAAGAAAAGTTTAGAGAAAAAAACTTTAGTGAGAAAATTAAAAGCAATTTTCTGAGTGTAAATTGGGTTGTGAGTGTTTTTTGTAAACACCTGTAAATTTTCTCCCTTTAGTAAAAGATCTGTAGCAGTCTAGAAACGTAAGCATAATTGGCCGAACTCCGTTATCAATTTTGTGCGTTATTATTCCGCTTTTATTTCGCATTCTCACTAATCTAGTTATAGGGAAATTACTCGTTTAATTTCCCAACACAACATATGATGTTCCCGACACATACCTGAATTGCGGTTGTCCCGTGCCTATATCGAGGATGTATTAAATACCTAAAACGGCGTTAGGTTACTGAAACCCAACAACAATACAACATAGTTCATAATAAAAAAAAAAACCACTAATGTAAAAAAATTCCTCAAACATTCTCACCTTGCTAGAAGCATCGACTATTGGGTATTTATGCCTACAACAGTTAAAATTTTCAAAGTCCATTTAAATAAGTGTCCTCAATCAACTAGACACAACATCAACGATAATGGAACGGGAAAGGATGAGTATTGTTAAGTACATCACTACTTCATTCATTGTTATCATATTTTACTTGTCGGATTATTAAAAATGTTAGTATTACCAAAATATTAGCATTTTTTTCAAACTTAACTTGAATAATTGTATAATTGCCTTTTTAACGTTCAGTATAAATTTTATAATTGCTAACCCATAACAAAGCTGACAAGGCTTAAAATTTTTCTATTTAATATCATAGAGCAGCTTATTTTTCATAGAACGTCTACCAAGTTAATCTAAGGGTAAAATTAACAGCATGCAGAGAGGACATTCAATGTTTACCCTTTGTGCTTGGTGGAGGGGAATTGGATGTAGCAGCCCTGAGTATGCAGTTTACACAGATTCACTACCGCAGAGCTTCACCATCTGGCGTACTTGCAATTTTCTGTCATTGCGCTTTTTGATACCCTTTCTGTACAGAGTGCTGGCAGCACAAGGTGCTGTCTTACGAATTGGAGGCTGTGCTTTGCATTTCTCACTCCTCTTCCTCAAGTATTCTGCTGCCTGCGCCTGAACTGTGAAATATAATTAAATCATTTTTCATGGCATTAAATCAGACGACACAAATTCAGGAATAAAGTGATTACATGCTTTTCGTTAGTATCTGTTTGGAAACATCAAATACCAAAAAAATGCATATAACGAATTAGGTTGATGATGTTTGAAGATTTAACATGAAATAGTAAAATATGTAGTGAGAGATACCAGAGCGGGAAGCTTCCGATGTTAGAGCACAATTCTTGATTTTGCTTATTCTTTCAGTAAGTAGCAAATTTTCATACAATTCATCTGTTTTGGCTCCTGCAATTTCATTCCTCTGGAGGCATGATAATGCATAATCACAGGCCTATAGAAGCACAACCAAATTAATCGCACAATTAATCATCAACTGGAAGAATAAATCCCAAGACTAGAATTATTGTTGTAATAAATTAACAAAGCGAGAGATTGAAGCTCAAATATGGAGAAGATGAAAACATGCATTTGTAAAAATACCTTTGCAGAAATAGCATAAAAGCAATTATCTAGTGATTGCTCCGCAAAATTAAGCCATTCCACAGGTGAAACTTGCAACCATTGTTGGATTTGAGACTTGTGTTCGCGAAGAACCAGAGCCTCGTACCTTAAAGCCAAACAACTCTGAATCAAAAGAATGAAAATTAAATTTAAGGGGGGAAAAGGAATTCAGTGGCAGGGAAAATAATGGATTAAACAGAAACAACAGAGCGATCGAATAAAATCAAGGATTTATGTAACCTCGATATCGCCGATGATAGCGAAGGCTTGAACAAAGAATTCGAGAGTGGAGAGCTTTTGATCCACAGATTTGGATGCAATATGGCGAATAGCGGAGAGAGATTCAGATCTGATGAACTGTTTTAAGGTGGACCGTAGTTGAGAAAGCGATTTAACGTCTTTGGAAGCGAGAACTGATTCGAGAATGCGAAGAGAATGGTCGTTGAATCTGCGAAGAACGAAAGGAAAATTATTAAACGCATCAGAGGGGTATCGTGCACCAAAAGGAAATTTTGTTTGGGAGATTGAGTGAACATTTTGTTGTTGATTTGGGAGCGGAAAAGAGCGATTTGCTGAGCAACGCCAGAGCCCGGGTGTGACATCGTGGCTTAGGGAATTGCAAGAGAGTTGGCGGGTAAAGGTTGGCTTGAACTCTAAACTTTATATAGATAAATTTGGGCCTCAAGCGCAAAATTAAGCACAGCCCGCAGCAACTTCTTACGTTACGTTACTCCGGTTACAAGCCTACAACTTGACCTATTCCGGCTCTTTAGATTTTTATTTACTTATATTAATTAGGACTGTATATGAGACGAAACAGATCGCGAGCTACTCGAGATCGATTTGATCAAGGCTCAATAAATAATCGGATTGAATGGACTTGACTCGAGTTCTTAACGAGCCGAAACGAGGTACTTGATATTCGACTCGAAAAGCTCGTGAGTAGCTCGAAAATGTAATATATTAAGATTTTATTTTTTTAAATAAATTATTAATAATAATAATATTTATGTACTGATTTTTAAAAAATATACAATAAGATTTTCATGTATTTAATGTTCAGGTTTAAGTTTGAGTTTGAGGCTTCAATCGAATTAAGTTTAAGATTTTTTTTCATTTTGAACCTTTTCGAGCTACTCACGAGTTTCAGTTTAGGATTTTGAGTTCGATTCGAGCTTGAAAATTTTAAACTCGTAAGTTTTCGAGTCGAACTCCATTTCAGAGTTTTCGAGTCAAGTCGAGCTCAGTAATACCAGAGCTCGACCCGGCTCGTTTACACCACTAATATTAACTTTGAATTCGGATCATCTCAAAATTTTAGTTTAGCATGAACTCCAATTTAGATATCATCTTTTGTATTAATGATTGAAACAATACAGGTCCAAACCATTTTAGATTGTTTTATGTTTGTACCATTATTAAGCTGAATGGATTCATCAAATCGAATTAAATAAAATTGAAATTAATCCAAGAACCAGTTTCCATTACCGGCGTATATTTAGGGATGGCAAACGGAAGGGTCGGGTGCGGATACCCCCTCCCCCATCCCCATACCCACCTAATATTTTTCAATCCACCACCCGCCCACCACCCATGATGGGTAAAAATTTTCAAATCCACACCCGCCCACGCGGGTACATTCTCAAATCCATCCCCACACCCACTACCCACTGGAGACGTACCCGGTTAGACCCGCCCGACAACAAACTTGAGTTATACATAACCAATAAACATAAAACAAACACATCTATTAAGAAACATAATAAAATAAACCAATGATTATCTGAGTTAAGTGTTAATATAGATCTTAAAGTATATAAAATATCATAATAAAAGACATAATTAAAATCTAGAAACATAAATGACAAACACATAATGTTTTTGTTCTTTGGCACAACATTCTAAAATTTCAAGCAATACTTGTGACATCTGATATTCCAGTATTACAATCATCATTCTCATAAAACACTATAATAAAACACCAATATTGCAAAATACTCAGTTGAAATTTGAATTTGAAAAGTCAGTTTCAATGGCGTTAAAAATGGAGTTTTGAGAAGCACAAGTGAAACACTTAATTCTATTCAGTGGCGTTAAAAATAGAGATTTGAGAAGCAACGATCTGACTCTGTTAGCAAAAAACGTGAGTGCTCAGTCACAAGATACTGATTTGTAGAACATTAAGAAATTAAGCTTAAAACAAACATTAAGATGAATATAACAAATAATTAAAAATCAGTACGAGCAAATAAAAATTAAACTCTTAAAACGAAATGCAGAGGAACTTAAAACGAAATGACTACGGAATTGACTCTTACAAAAATTAAATTTCAAGTAAAAAGGGAAGAAACATACCTGAATAAGCTGGAGAGTGAAGACAAGAGGTTTGAAAGAAAAAATTTATGCATAAACTTATCCCTAATATTTGGTTAAATTACAAGTTATATCTTATACAATATTAGAATTTATAAATTAATCTCTTAAAATTACACCTAAATTCATAATGGTCCAAAATTTAATGGATATTTAGTTGGGCGGGCGGATGCGGGGCGGGCGGATGCGGGGCGGGTAAGGTCTCAAACCCATTACCCGCCCACTACCCACGACGGGTACCACTTTCTAAATCCACACCCGCCCACTACCCACTAAAATTATACCCATCCCCACCCCAATTGGAGCAGGTGCAGTGCGGAATCCACGAAATTATGCCCGCTTGTCATCCCTACATATATTGCCTATTAAATATAGGGGAGGGGAAGATGAGAAAACATGTACATTCTTATTTAATATAGGGTAAACTATAGAGTTTGGTCACTTTTATTTTAATTTTAGAAATGTATAATTACTCGATTCAAAAAACACTTTCTTTTCATTTTAACTAAGATGTGATCACGGAGACGTTGATTGCTGTGAATTGGATGATGTGACATGTTAATAAAAATGTTTAATTTTATTTGAACCCTTAAACTTTAGATAAATTATTAATAATGGGTTATTTTGTAAACCCAAAATAATTCAGGGATAAAATATTAATTTACCCCTTTTTTCATATGTTTTCTTCCCCATATCTATCTTCTCCGCCGCGCCGCTTCCCCTGCTTCTTCTCTAAACCACTGTTTCAACAATTATTATTTGCTGGTTCCAAGTTAAGATTCTTTATCATTCATCTTAAAAGTAAATAGCTTTATCGGTATCTATAAAACTTTGAGCATAAGTTGCAATATCAACTCTGATATCTTCTGTATGAAAATAAAAAGATCCAAATTAGTACCACACTGATGTTTCTTCCCTCTTAGCTATGAAGCATCTTGGATGGAAATAAACTTAATAGTAATAGAGAAAGACTGGAAATAATATGTTCTTTTCGAGAAATTGTTTCGTCCTATATTACTTGGCCTAGAGGGGTAGTGTCAAATATAGATATGTGAATGACAGTAGTATACCTGAATTAAATGTTAGGTATAGTTTTCTTCCCCATATCTATCTTCTCCGCCGCGCCGCTTCCCCTGCTTCTTCTCTAAACCACTGTTTCAACAATTATTATTTGCTGGTTCCAAGTTAAGATTCTTTATCATTCATCTTAAAAGTAAATAGCTTTATCGGTATCTATAAAACTTTGAGCATAAGTTGCAAATATCAACCTCTCTGATATCTTCTGTATGAAAATAAAAGATCCAAATTAGTACCACACTGATGTTTCTTCCCTCTTAGCTATGAAGCATCTTGGATGGAAATAAACTTAATAGTAATAGAGAAAGACTGGAAATAATATGTTCTTTTCGAGAAATTGTTTCGTCCTATATTACTTGGCCTAGAGGGGTAGTGTCAAATATAGATATGTGAATGACAGTAGTATACCTGAATTAAATGTTAGGTATAGATACTTGAAGAAAAAGGAAGACTTGGGTGTAATACAAGTTATGTTACTAGTTAATTGGCCCTTTTCTCATTATCATCATTTTTTTATTGTATTGTGATATGATCATCATTAGAACTGAATCATATGTTACTGTAGGCTTTTGATTCTGGCAAGTGGAATGGAAGGCGTTGAAGGATTTCGCCAAAGATGGAGCTTGCATGATCGACTTACGGATACCAAGTAATGTTTCTGATTTATAAAGAATCTTTTTTGTCAGATACCGTATGTCTGTTAACATCATCCCATAAATCAAATACTCATTCTTCTTTTTTTCTCGTCTTTTTTGTATTCTTTGATCTTCTAAACAATAAAGGATTCCATGTTGTAAATAGAACCCTGCACTTTTTTTGCAGTTTTTCTTTCACGTTTCCTCCTGTGTATTTTACATTTAGTTTGTGCGAGAAAAAAATTGGAATCGTTAAAGCTGGGAGTGAAAGAAAAAAAGAGGATGAACCAAGTAAAATTCCTACCAGAAAAAGATGGTTCCTTTGGTAAATATTAATGGCTTCCTTGTAAACAAGATCTCACCGACGTACGGAGATGAAACAATGGTTTAGAGATAAAACAGGGGAAACGCATAATGGTTTAGAGATAATAGGTTTAGGAGAGAAAACATATGAAAAAAAAAGAGTAAATTAATATTTTATCCCTGAACGAATTTAGAATTTTTAAAAAATCCATAATTAGTAATTTATTTAAAGTTAAGGATTCAAATAAAATTTAATTTTTTTTATTGAAATGCCACATCAACCAATTCAAAGCAGCTAACATCTCAATGACCACATCTTAATTTAAACAAAACAAAAATAACCTTATATTATGTTATGTTTTTTATATGTTTATAAAACTGAAACAAAAGTTGTCCGTTTATAAAACTTAAACTAAAACAAAAGTAACTGTGGTTTACCTTTAATATATGACTTCCACAAAATTTCAAGGATTACCTTTAATATATGGTTTCCACAAAATTTCAAGGAATCACACTTGGCTTAGACATCGACATATTTATATATTTGCCCAATCGGACTATTAATTATTAAATCAACGCATTTGCAGTACCTTAACCTCTATTATTTAAAAAGCAGCAACTAAATTTATAACATTCAATGGAGCAAAATTGAGGAAATACTAAAAGAAACATCTTGACAAAAAGCGCCGTACAACAAAGAATCTTAGCTTTCATTCATCACAAAATCGATCAAATAGAATAACATGCAGCATCAAGGTGCTGGAATCCATAGTTCCACGTAACAACAAACCAGATCATAAAGTATGGCAGAACACAACCCTCCAGCCGTTGTTCTGCATTCCATACTCCCAAGAATATGATTGCTGCCTGCCACCATGACACTCATCGTGCCCAACCATCTTTTGATTTGCTAACACTAAAGCAGGCCTTAAAGTTATAACATTAGTTAGGACATATTGTCCAACAGATTAGTCAGATTAAGATCATCACTAAACAACGCCTAGTTTCCAGCATGGGATGCTAAACCCCCATCATCTTTAATCAAAGCACATCTTCAACAAAAAGTTCCCATGAATATAAAACACAAGTTTGTTCGACCATGTTGAATGATGAGCAGACAATGAATAAAATCAAATCAAGCATTAGGGGTTAACAGTAACCAAACAAAAGGGTAAATGTGTTATTTATAAGAGCAGCACTCACCTGAAATTATCAACCTACTTTAGCAGCAAGCAATTTGGAGTTAATCCACTTGCCTCTATAAAAAGATTCACAAATTTGATTCAATCCAACGACAAGGAACTGAGGAAGAAAAAAACCTAGCTAACAGCAGACAGGAGAAAGGAGAGGAAAGGGGTATTGCCCAGACAAGTGAACAACCTACCTCTTAGTCTCCTGTTCAAGAACAATCCCATCAATGCAACACAACTAGAACCCTTAGAGCACAATTCTTAGTACATAAAATACTTGAAGCTTGAAGTCCCTCAATACGGGCGCGAACGATTTCCACCATGGTTGTGCCTATCTGGCCCAGAACCCCCATCGCTGTAACTATCCCTGCGCCGGTTTCCACCACCTCTGTAGCCACCTCTACCACCTCTGTCAAAAAAAGGGTCGATAATATATCTTAAACATAAACAAAAATTATTCAGCCCAAGATCTAGTTTACTTGGTAAAGGGAGAAATAGTTTTAGGCAATCTTTTCTGCTGTTTACTTTCAAAGTGACAGACATAAGGGGCAACCTAACATTAACGTAAGTCAACTATGCAAAAAATTTCAAGACAAGACTAGTAAAATCATAGGTCCTTGATGATAACAAGTGGTGGTCATTTGAGAATTTAGTTTCAAAAGGAAATGAAAGCAAGTGAAACCTTAAAAGCAGAAATCCAACATGGCAACATATAATACGGACTGAGAGGAAAAATGCTATAAATGCGCATCATATACTCATAAATTAAATGTTAAAACAGAGCATTTAAATGCAATATAGATGAACTCAATCCAAAGAAAAGCCCAATGGGACATCTGAAAGATTTCCTGTCAGGAAAAAGCATCCAAATAAAACAGTTTTGTGTCGGTTAATTGAAGGGTTTAAAATGATACCCATGATCAAATATTTTGGGTGCAGTCTTCTCTGCCATAGCCACGTTGATTGTATAGCCTCTCATGGAGTGATCTGAGAGAATTCAACAGGGGTAAGGTGAAATATTTAAGGCAACAAACAAAGTGAAGAAGTTTGCAGGTATGTACTATTAAAGAAACTGCCAGCAGAGTGAGCAGCCTGGGGATCTTCATAAGACAAAACTGCATCGCCTTTCTGGTTTCCTTCCTCATCTGTGTATATTTTTATATTCCAGGGCCATTGATCTTTATAACCACGCTTCTGCTTAATTCTCCCAACCTAAACAAGATGTAAATTGTTAAAAAAACTAGTGAGGATGCCAAAATTTCATGCAAAATAAAAACAGAACTCGTCAATGCAGCTTCATATGTAAAAACACCCAAGTCTACCAAAACATGGAACTAGAGAACAAAATAAGGTTTAAAGGACGATTCTCATAAATCACATATACCAGCTCTGAAAAAACAGAGACACTAGTATGAAGTAGACGACATATTTCCAGTTAGACAGCACATGAATTTAAAGTATAAGATTTGGCAATTACTTGTCCAATGCCGCCAAAAAGGTCTCTTAATTCTTCAATAGTAACATCAGGTGGCAAATTTGATATGTATATTCTTGAGTTGTCACAAGAATCACCACAGTTTCCGTCACACTGCTTGATCTTAACCGATGCATCAACAGTAGAATCACCATAACCACCTCCTTGATTTCGAGGACCAACAGAACCATATCCACCAGGAGCTCCACCTCGACCACCAGTCCTCACATCCCTCAAACCCTCACCACCATAACCACCTTCAGGGCCACCATAAGATGGAGGGTATGATGTGGATCCACCAGTATAGCTTGTAGGTGGAGGAACAGCTTCCATTCCATAATTTCCATTTCCACCATATGCATTAGGAGCAGGTGGATAATTTCCACCATAAGAACTGGACGCTGGAGGAGGAACTTGACCGTAGCCACCATCTTCCACTCCTTGACTACCTCCATAAGAGCCACCTCTACTACCACCACTTCTGTTATCATGATTTCCACTTCTGCCTCCATCATAGTTGTTATTCCTCCCACTATCAAAACCACCTCTACCCCCATCTCCTCTACCTCCGCGATTACCATCATAGCCACCACCACTACTTCCTCTGCTAGAACCACCACTAGTACTACCGTTACCACGTTCACCAGCACCCACAGGAGAGGGTGCACCGCATTTGTTACATTCAACTCTTCTTGCAAAGTTCAAGTTCCTACAGCTACATAGACATATGCCAGTTTAAATTACACAAATCTATACAAGTAACATTAATATCAAAATATCAGCAAGCAATGCTTGAATGTTTGACTAATTAACAATACAAAACCCAGAACGGATGGGAAAACCTCCCCCAAAAGTAAATCAAACACAGTGAAAAGAACATTCACCTGGAGTTAGGGCAAAGCCAATCACCATCTCGGCCTCCGCCACCACGGCCACCACCTCTTCCACCGCGCTCTCCTTGATAGCCTCCCCCGCCTCCAGCAACATCAAGATCCCATTCATTAAAAGAACAAAAGCCTAAAATCGAATCGATCTCGACAAAACCAACATGAAAAATGCGAGGAAAAAACAGTCAATAATGCTAACCTACAGAACACAAAAAAAATTACCTCGATTTTGAGAACCACCACCGTATCCTCCTCTGGCGCCTCCACGGCCCCCGTGACCTCCATCTCGACCGCGTCCACCGTAACCGCCTCCACTATAGCCTCCAGAGCCGCCATATCCACCACCACGAGAAGGCGGGGCAGCTTCGTATCCGTCTTGACCGTACATCCTTCAACAGTGTAACTAGGACCCTTTGTTTTCCTTTTTTTTCTCTCGTTTCAGAACGGGGAAAAGGAGATATTTAGGGTGAAATAAAATCAAGGGTAAAGTATATAAATTGTTCCCAAACTTTAGAATGTTTGCATTTTGGTCATCCAACTTTTGACAATTGCAATAGCATCATCAAACTTTTAGTTTGTTTTCAATAAAGTCCTTATCATTACTCCCAGTTAGATTTTGTTGATATGGCAATTAACTACCACTAAACCCATTCTTCTTCTTTTTCTTCTTCTTTTGTTATTGTTTACCCCCCCTCCGATCAGTGGTGACTCACACCGCCATCGCCACCGACATCACCTCCTGACCACACTCGACCTTCAATTCATACTCATCATCCACCATTCACCCCAAATCATGAGAAGACCCCAATGTTTCTTTTATATTTTTAACAAACGGTGAACGGAGGAGGGATGACCGACTGGATTGTAGTCAAAACGGTGAAGAGGATATGAGAAGACAATTTCCTCATCTCTTTGTACAGAGAAAATTCGAGGATGAATTTTCTTAAGGGGGAGAATTGTAATACCCCAAATATCGGATCAGTGACTAAAGTGTAAGGATTTAATATTTAGTGGTTTAATTTTTATAAATTGCAATATTCAAGGATTAATTTGGAAATTATGGGAAATAGATGAAAAAGGAAAAGGAAAAACCTAGAAACATTTTGGTCATCTTCTCTTCTTCTTTCTTCCACCGTGACTCCATTGCTAAGGTAATAGATTTTAAAGTTAATTGTTTCTTGCATTTTTTAGTTGGGTTCTAGTTCTTGGCTGGTATAGAAGCTTAAGGAAGCTTAAAGATGATTAGAAGCTAAGAGATTGAGGAATTAATGGTGAATTAGTAAAATGAGTTTTTAAAGGAATTGATGAAATTTGACTAGTTATTGGATTTTAAAGTCATATTTGTCTTGTCAAAGGTCTAATTAAGGTGTTTGAAGTATTAGAAATGATTGAGAACATGTTTGAAGAATGGGTATAATTTTTAGTTTTAAGTGTTCTAGTGAAAATGTTGCATGTTAAGAGGGGATTAATGGATATAAGTTGTTTGGGATAAATGTTATTGAGTCTAAGGGCTTGAATGAAGTTAGAGGTGTGAGATTTAGGTGAGTTTTGAGTAAAATTCCAAATGAAATAAGTGAAATATGGGTAAGGGTATCGGTACTGGAAGAACATTACTAATACTATAAGGTTAATTGAAAGAAAAATGTCTGAATCAGATGAACAATATCGATATTGATTGAAGTAGTATCGATAATAATGTGGAGGTATCGATACCAAGAGTAAGGTATTGATACTATAATTGAAGATGAAATTCCAGAATGTCATAATGGTATCGATACTGAATTAGGTATCAGTACCACAATAGAGAAGTATCAGTATTGTGTGTAGAGTACTGATAATATTCAGTCTAAAATTTTAAATTAGGTGTTTCATTTCATTTTTGTAAGTTCTAATTGGTTAGTCGTTAATTGAGAATCGATATTTATCTTGGACATGTTGATGGGTAGATTTGGATCGAAAGCAAACCAAACGAATCGACTTAGTACAAAGATTGAACGAAAGTTAAAAATGATTTCATTTAGGACTTAAGTGAGGCAAAGGTGAGTGCAACTTATTTATTTTATATTAGATATGAGGACGGCTTGCGATAAGCCAACCTCGAAGGTTTTCGATTAAAAACAATTTTATTTATTTTATGCAATATCTTTATAATGTTTTATATAAATTGTATTTCTGAAGTAATGTTTTGATTTTATTAGTATGTGAATATGGTATATGTGAATGTGTTCTATGTGAAAATGTTCTAGGTGAATGTGTTTTATGTGAATAAATGATACTTTGAATAATGTAATGTGAAATAATTATATGGTAAGCCCAAAGTGTATGTTATGAGAATTAGATGTATAGTTGGCATGCCAAGAGTCGAGTGTTCTATGCGGTCCTTCGTGACAATTCTATGTGGTCCTTCGAGACAATTCTATGCGGTCCTTCGAGACAAATCTATGTGGCACTTCGGTGCATATTCTATGTAGCACTTCGGTGCAAATTCTACGCGGCAGTTTCGATTGCAATTACAGTGCACAACCTCAAAGTACTCACATACCTTGAGTTCTCAGTGATATGTGTTGGGTTATTTAAACAAATTGATATTAATGGAACAGTGTATAAGATTATAGGTATGTTTATGAAATGTATATTAGTTTCCATATACAATGTTTCTTGAAAATGTTAATCAAATGTTTTATTTTTTTATGCTCATTATGCCCCACTAAGTCAATGTTAATCAAATGTTTTATTTTTTTTATGCTCATTATGCCTCACTAATTCAATGACTTAGCGTGTGAGTGTTTTCAAACATAAGTTTGAAGAGGTCCGAAGATTAAAGCTAGGACATGATAACATACACTTTGGAGAAGATCAGATCATCTCGATTTTAAATGTAAGTTGTTTTGTTAGTTTGTAATTGTAACATCCCAAAAACTAAGTTAGTGACTAAATTGCAAGATTTTGAAACTTCAGGTTTAATTTTGAAAAATTAGAAAAGTTCAAGGACTTAGACTGAAATAACTTGGTATTAGATTAAATAACAAAGAAGGAATGAATGAAAGGTATTATGGTCTTTTCATTTTAAAGGATATTTTCTCTCCTTTATTAAGAGATAAACACGTGAATTTGGGGAGGTATCTAGAAACATTTTCTCTTATCTTCTTCTTCTTCTTCTCGTGTGCTCCACTTCAAAGGTAAGATTATGAATTTTGTTGATTTTTTCAATTTTTGGGGTTGTGTTGAAGGCTTGGGTGTTATACAAGTTTAAGGAAATGTTGTATAGGATTAAAACCACAAGAGGAGAGAACTAGAAAGAAATTTGTAAAAATGATGTATAAGTGAATTGTTGACATGATATAGTTTTTGGAGTTTTGTTGATAAATTTGACTTGTCATAAGTAAGAATAAGAAGTCTAAAGTATCAGAAAGGAGTTTAGAACATGTTGAAAGTTCAGTGAAATTCTTAATTTCAAGAGTTATGGTGAAATATTAAAGATGATGATGTATTATAGTGATAAAAAATTGTTTAAGTATATATAGTTGAGTTTAATGGCATGAAGGGAGTTCTATAAGTGGATTTTAGGTGAAGTGTTGGTTCTTGGGGTATTGATACAGAAGTGATAGTATCGATACCATGGGTATCGATACCAAGGTGGAAGCATCGATACAATTCTTGTAATGAAATTACAGAATCAAGAATAGGTATCGATACCGTAGGATGGTATCGATACTACAAGCATAGAGGTATAGGTACTGTACTTGTAGTACATATACTACTTAAGTTGGAATTTAGAAAATAGTGCTTTGTTTTGTGTGCATTGATAGGAAACTTTTAGAGTAATTTAAATTTCGATATTTATTGGATTGTATATTTGTGTATATATCGATCAAAAGCAAAGTCCGGACAAGTCGACAGAGTAAGATTTATCGAGAGAGAGATAAGAGATTGATATTGACTAGTGAGACCAATGTGAGTACATGATATTATGTATAAGTTATTTTTTATGGAATTAAGACTTGTGATGAGTCTAATTTCAATATTAGATTACATGAGTACATGAATACAAGTATGTAGTGCTATGATACTTATGTGTACATGAGTATATGCATATCTCTAGATGTTAAGTGCATTTATATACGTGATCTATGTGAATGCATGTATGTGTGATAAATTATGTGAACTAATGTAATTGACTTATGTAATTAAAGGGATGAATGAGATAAGCTATGTGATTATGAGCTATGTGATAATATGTGATGTGATTACATGATCATAAGATATAAGCCATGTGACAAGAGATATGTGATTACATGAAAATATGATATAAGCTATGTGAAAGTGATCTATGTGACTATATGTCTATGTGATAAAAGTTATGTGACAAATATAAATGATAGTGCCCATATTATGTGATATGAGAGCTAGGGGTATAGTTGGCATGCCAAAATTCGAGAGTTCTATGTGGTCTTTCGGGACATATATGTGATCCATTGGAACATATATGTGGTCCTTTAGGACATATATTTGGTCATTTGGAACATATATGTGGTCCTTAGGGAAAATTCTATGTGGCCATTCGGGACATATATGTGGTCCTTCGGGACAATTCTAAGAGGTCCTTCAGGATATCTTATATGGCACTCAGTGCAAATTATACGAGTTCTAGTGACAACATTTGTGCACAACCTCAATGCACTCACTTATCTTTAGTTCTCAGAAGCATACATGGGCTAATAAAGAGATAAAAACAAATACAATGTATATGATATATATGCTTTGTGATGTGAAATGTATTACAAGAATTATGTGATTTTGTGTGTATTGTTTGGTTAAACGAGTCATATGATGGTTACAAATGTTAGGTATATAAGAGTATATGATTATAAGGACTAATGATAAGAATGTTAATAATGACAATGATGGTATATCTGCATATAAGCATTTTGTTATATTAAATAACGTTGGCATGTACCTAAATGATTCAATTGTATAAGCTCTGATCAGTTTTTGTAAACTTTTTGATTTAATGTATGTAAATTATTCCGTATGTTTAAATTAAGTATGAAATTCTCCTCTATTTTATATAAGTAAATGATTTGAAAGGTCAATGTGACACCTCGGACTCGTATTCGCGTCAGATATGGGTTGGGGTGTTACATTTAATGGCATCATAGCTAAGTTTTAGCCGATTATAGACTTAAATTGAAGTCAAAAGTGTTTTAAAAAGTACACATGCCAACAAAAAGGTGAAAACTTCTGATTTGATATAGTAATGAGTATGATGTCTTCTAATAGAGTTATATGGTTATGTCTTAGATGTCTGATCGCGATAGATCCCAAAGTGAAGGGAGAAGTGATATACCTGAAGGTAGTAGCAATCACCTATTCTGGCTAGGCAAGGTGAAGAGTGAACACCTCCGGTAGTACCTGTACAAGATCAATGGTTGTTTTTCAGGACTTTAA